CAATTTCAGTTCTGGAATTTAATGCTTTTCCTGAAATCAGCCCAGATGAAAAGTATTCATTTTTATTTGTGGATAAAGAAGAGATATTTAAGTAATGTCAGTGACCCAGGATGAATCAAAAATGTTTACCATAACATATTAAGTTATAAAGGATACACAGGACTATGAATTCATTGTATATGGATGATCATTTTTCATCTAAAGAAACCATGAAGGGACTATTAAGATTACACTTGGTGATATCGCTGATTTAGAATCTGGTAAGAGATAAGAATATGTTATAGTTTATTTCACTGAGGCTTACAAAAGATCAGATGAGTCTTGGCTATACTGTATTCATAATCTTTCATGTAAAAAAATTAAAGTTTTTAAAGATATGACCACCAATAGAGCAGTAGGTCTCTAAAAGGTTTTTACCAGGACCTGAATGTTCAACATTTCTATTAAAGACTTTAATTAAAAAATGAAATACAATATATTTCATCCATGTTAAATTTCTATATAAACAATGAACAGCCTTTAAAGAAAATACCATATTTTTATAATTAATTTTAAATAAATATAAAATCTAGAATACAAAAATTACTTATGTTGGAGAAAGATAATAGCAGTGTTGATTTGTAGCTTCACCAAATGTGAGATAGTCTATAGAGTCTAAATAAATAGGATTAATAAGTTGCAAAGACAAATATTTCATGATAGTTTCATTGCCTATGATCGCTAACAATGAGCAATCACATAGCATAAGCATGATAGACAATTTTTATATGGAGAATAATTAACAGATTTTAGAAAAATGTAAATTAATTCCAATATAGACTTCCCATAGAAAGAAAAGAAAGATGATCTCATGTGAGAGTTTCACCATAAGTAAAGAAGCAAGGGCAGAGTTATGATCTGTGTGGAGAGTAAATCAATAAGACAGGTAATTTAATACAAAAATCCAGTTAATATGAAGTGTTATCAGTATTTGGGACATCAAGAATTAATTATAACTTCATACTTTACTAAATCACACAATTCTGTATGTAGCACATTACACTTAAAGAATCAATATTGAGGGGCTAGAGTTATAGCTCAGTGGTAGAGCATTTGCCTCATAAGTGTGAGGCACACTAGGTTCAATTCTAGAACCACATAAAAACAAATAAAGTCATTGAGTCCATATACAACTAAAACATTTTTTTAAAGAATGTTGATACAATTTTATGAGTTCTCAGCACAATAGTATATTCTTATTCAAATAATTAAATGTTAGTATATAGTTAGTGTCTATATTTCACAGCATTGCCTTATAAAAATCAATATTATAAAATATATATGTGTGTGTGTGTATATATATATATATATATATATATATATATATTAAAAAACTGTGGCTCTTTGTACAGTTAGAGGATGTAACATTATTTTGATATCAATTTGCAGATGAAATCTGACTTGCGGAGGATAATTGTACCAATTAGACCCTTATTCACCTTTCTGGAAGGGCCTTTCCCTCACTTGCTTTCTCAGTCTTCTAATAGCTTTTTGTGACTCTTGAAAAGCAATTGCAACTCAGTAATGCTAGAACTAATCAAATACAAGATCATGAATAGAGAAGACATTTAAAGAGAAAAACTCAGTGAATAGTTTTAGAAAATATGAAAAATAAGGCTCAATTATATACCTGAATTATTTCCAAGTCTTTCTCTTTCAAGTGGTTCAATAGATGCATTGAGCACTGAAGGTTTTGTGTTCTATTCAGTGGCCATCACCAATTCATCTACTTATACATCTTTTCAAACTTGTACTATTCATTCAATAAACATGATGGATTGAGATCGATGTTAATAACTAGGAGGTTAAAATTTCAGTATTTTAAATTGAGATATTTTCTGCTATTCTTTTCTTTTCAGTCATTCAACATGATAGAGATGTATCCCTAGAATCAGGGTTGATAAAGTATTCATAATTTTCAGAACTTCCTGTTCTCTCTATGCTTTGTACATCTCCTTAGCAGATGAAGAATTGTCAACAAAGTAGCTATAGAGAAAAATCTCCATTTTTAAGCTGTCATGAATACTAACAGTAGATTCAGGAATTTTGTTGCCAGCATCCTATAATTATACTTACATTGAATCAAAACATCCAACTAAATATTTAATTATTTTAAAAATTTTATGCCTTCAATTTTCATATTAATTTTAGTCCATGTATTAACCTCCATACATCCAAATTCCTGGTGCGTTTTAAAATTTAGGAATGTTGTTCTATAATGATAGCATTAAGAAAGCAAAAAAGACCATTCACATACTGGGAAAAGATTACAAATTATATCTGACAAAAGTCGCATATAAAGAACACTAAAAATCTCAATAAGAAAATTTGCACGATTTTAAATGGGAGAATATTTGAATAAAAAGTTTCTACAAATGCTTAGTAAATGCACAAAAAGTTGTTCAGTGTTTACTAGTCACTAGGAAAATGCAAATTGAAACCACAAGGACATACTACCTGCCACTTAGCATATCTCAGAGTGACTAACATGATAAAAAAAAATACTGATTATGCCTGGGGTTGGTATGCCAGTGCATGGCAAAATCTAGAAGCCTCATATGCTGTTGTTGAATACAGGCTCATTAAGAAAATCTCTTAGAGTGTAAAACATACACCTACTAGATGCTCAAAAATCTGACTTTTAAGTCATAAAAATGAAAATACATCTTCACACAGAAACTAGAGCAAATTTGCACAGACACATTATTCATGATAATCTAAAAATGGAAACAAAGAAAATGTTCTTCCACTGGTAAATGGACAACAGCAATGTAGATTCCTGCACAATCTAAAAAATGTAAACAAGTATTGCTTTTTTAAAATCTAAAATCAAGCCAGGTGAGGTGATGCACACTTGTAATCCCAGCGGCTCCAGAGGCTGAGGCAGGAGAATTGCAAGTTCAAAGCCAGCCTCATCAACTTGGTGAGGCCCTAAGCAACTTAGTGAGACCATGTCTCTAAATAAAAAGAAAAAAGAGCTGGGGATGTGGCTCTGGGGTTAAGCAGCCCTGGGTTAAATCTCCAATACTAAATAAATAAATAAACAAACAAACAAATAAATAAATAAATAAAAACAGTTTCATTGGGATATAATCTACATATGCATTTTGACTATTTAAAGTACAAGTGGTGGCACCTTCCTGTAGTTCCAGCAACTCAGGAGTATGAATTAGGAGGATTTCAAGTTCAAAGCCAGCATCAGAAATTTAGTGAGACCCTGTCTATACCTAGCTCTCAGCCAGTATTTTTAAAATACTCTGTTTTCTCCTTTTGCTCTCTTCCATTATACCCATTACATGCATGATGCTGTGCTTAATGGTATCCCACATTTCTCTGAGGCTTCATTATTTTTTATTATTTTTATTATTTTTGCTCTGTGCTCTGATTTATCTTTATGATCATTTATTCTTTATTTTGTCAGTTCAATTCTACCACTGATGTCTATAGTGATTTCTTAAAATTTCCATTATTGTGCTTCTCAATCCACAATTTCATTTTGTTCTCTTTTTTATGAGAAATTTCATGATATAATAACATATACATATTTCCAAAATATGCTAAGTGAAAGAAATCAAATCAAAAAGACTTAGTGAAATATACTTATAAGTATATTTAATTTATTGAACAGGCAAAACTTCACAGACAAAATATAGTTCGGTAATTGCTTTATACCAAGTGTAAGAGCAGGATAAACTGAAATTGAGCATGAAGGTCATTGTTCACATAAGAAAAGTGTGTTCTAAAATTAGATTTCAGTCATGCACTTACAATTGTATACACTTATTAAAAGTTAACTATCTATACACAAAAAAGGTAAGTTTTGTACTTCATTAATCTGTTTCTTTGCCTGCCCCACTCAAATAATATAATGCCTCTTAGTAAAATGAGACAAAACATTTTTCTGAATTACATTAAGATTAAAGAAAATATCAAAATTTCAATTAGATTTTAGTTTAAAAATTCAGTGTGAGCAAAAATAACATAATCACAAAGAACATAAATTCTGTGGACTAGTTGACAAATTTCAGATGGTAAGTCTAACATTCATTAGATCTGTGATCTTGAGAATGTTATTTATGCTTCCATTGACATGAAAAATAGGTATGATAATATAACCTTCTTCAAAGGCTGTTTTAAAAATTATATGAATTAACACACTTTATAAGTAGAGCCAAAAAAGAATGAAAATGTTTTGGTTCAAAAGGGGAGGAAGTAGAAAGTAAGTAAGTAAACAAATAAATAAATAATTGAGCCATGACAAACCTAAGTGAATTAGTAAAACTGGAAAAAAGTTCTAATAATATCAGAAAGGAGATAAGGAATCCACATGCACCACTCTAATTTGAATAATTTATCCAAAAAATATTTAAAGAATGATTATTTCCTTGTTAGAGATATCAATATGAATAGGCATATACATTAGCCACTCTCAGGAAACCTGTATATTATTTGAAGTATTATTAAGTACAAAAATACAATAAGATAAAAACATAATAGGAAAGATTATGAAAATTCTCTTCCTGTAATATGAGTCTATTAGTGGAGTTTGCAGAGAGATTAACAAAGCATAAGGTATCTTATGCTTTGTTACAACTACAAAGGGAGCATAATAACGCTTTACTATATTCCAATGTATCTCAGAAAAAAATAATTTAAAATTGTGTCCCCTTCATGTGAGAAACAGAATTTAACATACCTACAAAAAATAGTAAAAGTGTATTATCTGTAGCTATATATATACAACATGAAGATGCAAGTAAATAGGCATAAATTAAAATGTGGCATGATTTTGAGCTATACATACATTTTGTGAAGTTATGCAATATAACTTTTATGTTTGAAAAATAGTTGTCAAAAACACAAACTGATATTGTTCTGATTAGGTCTGATACAGAAGGGAAAATTTAATCTTAGCAAAACACTTAATATTGGTCTTCACATTAAAAGTGTTTTCAAGGGTTGGGAATATGGCTTAGTTGGTAGAGTGCTTGCCTTGCATGCACAAGGCCCTGGGTTCAATCCCCAGTACCACCAAAGGGGGGGAAAAAAAGGTTGAACTATTTGAATTAATCCATAGACAAAGTACAAAATGTGACTCATCACATATAAAGGAAACTCCACAAACGTATGAACAAATGTTTCAGTGCAAACTTTGCCAACCAGGACAGTGGGATGATATATTCAAAGAGCTGAAAAAGAAAAACTGCCAACAGCAACAACAAAAAATATAGCATATCCAATAAAATTATTCTTTTAAAATGATGGAAAAAGCAAAAACAGGTAGAGTTCATCACCACCAGACCTGGCTTTCCAGAAATGCTTGAAGGAGTTCTTCAAACTAGAAGGACACTGAAGAGCAGCACAGAAGCATTAATCACATAGGAAAAGGTTAATATACACATACAGGCAGAACAGAGCAACACTGTAAAAGCCCTGTATAAATTACTTCTAACCTCAACATAAATGTTAAAAGGTAACATTTTTTTTAACAAATGCACAATGTTAATTAAAAAAAGCAAGAAGCAACCTCTGAATATAAGAACACAGACTGTGTAGTGGTAATGAAAGAACAATGTTTTTCTAGGCAATTAATTTGTTATTGATTTGAAGTAGATTATAACCACAAGATATTTTAAATGAACCTCAAGAAAACTTCAAAGTATACCTAAAATAAATACAAATGATAAAGAAAAATGCAAAGGAAATCACTACCAAAAAATCATCAAATAAACATAGAAAACAGGAAAACAAAGACTAAACAATTATATGATAAGGAAACAATAGACTGGCAAGTACTCGCGTGTCAACAGCTGAATTAAATGTAAGTGCATTTATTCATTATTTAAGCATGATAATTTATCCACATATTAACAGTTTTTAAGTCATTTTAGTTGCTGAAAAATTGCAGCTGAGTTTAGATGTGTTTTGAGAAATGTATGTGTCCTATTAATTAATCAAAAAGATAATACTGCAAATTATTTCCTGGGCCTTAATGTATTTATGAAACACTTGTGTTATTTATTCTGTTCCTTTTTAGTGTCAGGAACACTATTTTATAAAGAATGCATTATACACTTTACCATTCATTCCTCAAATTCATTCGGCCAACCAAAGGAAAAGTACATTAAACAAATCATTACTTTCACTGTGGGGGAAAGGCGCTGTTCCTTAGTTCCATCAACTATGGTTAAATCAAAAATGGCAAAATATATGTCTATGTTTGCAAGATGGAGAAGTATATGGTCAAAAAACAAAATTCTGGCTGGCAGTTTATCCTCTTTCCTGTCACATTCGTAACCAAGAGAACTAGAGTTACTCACTATGAGCCCAAGTTTCATAACATTTTTCTTATTTCCTATATATGGTACATGCATTTTACAGTCTGTTTCACTTCATACACTATAAATTTTAAGTTGAAATTCCAACCTCAGAAGTTGAGCTGTATACTATACTGCCTTAAGCCTTAATTCAGGATAGTTAAAAATGATTTTTTTTTTTGCTAAGTACAAAATTAACATTTCTATTAATACCACTCCATTTTCTTCATAAAAAGAAAAGGCAAAGAAAGCTCCATCTCATTGTTTTATTTTATCTCAAACTAAATGCATTCATTTATAAAGAAAGAAATAAGAGGATATCCTCAGTCACAAAAATATTTTGTATTTTTATGTGAAAGCAGCAGGAATTATTCATATTTCATTTTTCAAAGGCTGTGTGTGTGTGTATGTGTGTGTGTGTGTAGAAAAATGTTTAAGTTTACTCAAAGAGAGTTCTGGCCTTTGTGCTTAGCACCTGGGAGTCTCCTTTAGGCCACAGGAATGCCCTTCCTCATAAGAGCATCCTTCTTTACCTGGTGTACTTGGGCTGTACTGTGCTAGATCCCCTAACCATGTGACTCAGAGTGAAACTTTGGTCTATGTGGTTACTCATCTACCAATAGCAATACTGGAAACAAAAGGTCAGCCATGTTGGTTGTAAACCATGTCTATGTGATTCAGCTTCAATGAGAGACAGGGAATCAAGGTCTCAGTGAGATTATTTGGTTGCAGATACTCCATGCCAACGTTGCACATCATTTTCAGGAAAGATAGCAGTGTCCCCAAATTCACTAGAAGATGGTAACTGAGAGCAGAAGTTTAGAGGACTCTTCTCCATGTCTTTTGCCTTGGCTGATTTTTAAACTGCATTTCTTTACTCAATAAACTGTAACAGGGCTGGGGATGTGGCTCAAGCGGTAGCGCACTCGCCTGGCATGCCTGCGGCCCAGGTTCGATCCTCAGCACCACATACAAACAAAGATGTTGTGTCTGCCGAAAACTAAAAAATAGATACTAAAAAATTCTCTCTCTCTCTCTCTCTCTCTCTCTCTCTCTCTCTCTCTAAATAAAATAAAATAAAATAAATAAACTGTAACAGTGAGTATAATACCCTTTGAATGAATTGTGTGAGTCCTCCTTTTGAACTATTATGAGGTAATCTTGGGAAGCCTTCAATTTGCAGTAGGTATTCTAAATAAAGTTGTTCTTATACTGTGCTCATTAACTTTAAGATATGACAAGATTAAGGCTAGTTGGGCATATAACATCCAATGAAATAATTGTATAAGTTGTTCAATCCCCAAACAATTAGAATTAATTTATCAATTCTAAGAATGTTTTTTGTTTGTTTTTGTTTTTGCAGTGCTGAAGATCAAACTCAGGGCCACTTACAAAATTAGCAAGTACTCTGCCACTAAGCTACATCCAAGCCCCCAAACCCATTCTGAGAATGCTTACCCATGCAGTTTTCTTTCTTTCCCATAAAGACACACGTGGAATTATATAGCATGGCAATACCTTCCAAGTATGTATGATACTTCCTACTGAGAAGTGAATGTTAATTAGTTTTCTAGAGACAAGGTTTCAGAATGCTTAGACAAAGACTAGAATATATGGACAAAATATTATATGAGGAAATTTTAAAAGTAAAAGTGACGCAAATCTAAATCAATATCTAAATTGATCTAATGTAAAATTTTAATGAATTATAATAATACTACTGGAATTTTAAATTCAGGATATTGAAAACATCAGTAACATAAAATAAGCTATATTTAAGAATGCCATGCTTATATTAAGAAGAAATAATTTCTGAAAATGTATATGAAAGATGATCTAATTTAATATAATTCTGTGATGTAGCTTTATTTATATTATACTTCAATCCCCTTTTGTATACATTTAATAAATTAGCAATTGTCAAATTTATTAAAACTTTTATCCAATATTTTTTTTGAATACTTACTATTGCCCAGTCTCATAGCAAACTGTTGAGAGTACCAATCAGTATAGTATATTGAACATCAAAATATAGCATGAAAATTTAGCAAGAGAGCTACATAGATGGACATCACAAGAACACATTAAAAATATTTGGATTAAAATTTAGAATATAGTGTGGGAAGCCTTCCAAGAAGATATTTTATAAGAACAGAGTGGAAGGAGGGTACCAAAGAAATAAATGTAGTAAAGAAATATGGAGAAAAAGAGAACAGCTTTACCAGAGTCTGAAGGTAAGTTATAAATGAACACTATGGGGATTGCATTTATGAGACAACTGAGAAGTGACACATGATGACTAAGGTCAGATAAGTTGATTTCATCAGGAGAGGCAAAATTAGGAAGCCTTGATGTTACTTTTCATTCTGGATGCAAAGGTCATTGCTATGCTTAGATATAGTTTACTCCTCAAAGGCTCTAATGCTTGAAGCTTGGTGCTCTCTGTGGTAGTGTTGCTATAGATCAGATCCCATAGGACTGGATTCGTTCCTATACAAATTGATTGTTATAAATCAAGCTGGACTGCCTTGGCCTGCTCTCCTATACACTTGCCGTTCTGTGCGCAGCCATTTCCTTTTCCATTTCTCTATCATGTTTTGACACAGCTGCTTGATATTTGAAACTGGTAGTGACCAGAAATATGAACTAAATAAATCATTTTACTTCGTAAGTTATCCAGCCTCAGATATTTTGTTATAGAAATGCAAAATGGATTAAGAGAGCCATGATTAAATTGGTGATTTTGTGAAGAACTTCTTTTACTTCCATGAAGAGTGGATTGTATTGTAGGCATGAAAGATGGAACATTGAAAGTGAGTTAAAGCAGCTGGCATAGTTACTAATCCACATAACAGAAAGCAATTTCATTTGAAAATATGTTATCATTTTAGTTTTTATTCTGTTACGGTTAGGATATAAGGTGTCCTCCAAAAGCTCCTGTGTTGATGCAGGAATATTAACAGGTAAAATGATTGTGTCATGAAAGCTATAACCTAGTCAGTCCATCCTAGTTTGAATGGACAACTGGGTGGAAACTTTAGGTAGCTGGGCCATGATGGAAGGAAGTAGGTCATTGGGGGTGTGCCCTGAAAGGGGATTTTCTTTCTTGAAGACCTTCGCCCTTTCTGTCTATATATCCTGGATTCTAGAGGTAAGCACTTTCTCTCTGCTGTGCCCTTTAGCCATGATATTCTGCCTCACTCTGAGCCCACAACAATAGAGTTGGCCAAAAATGGACTAAATCTCTTAAACCATGAGCTAAAATAAACTTTCCCTCCCTAAATTGTTTTGTTTTTCAGGTGTTTTGGTAACACATATGCTCTTAGAAGTTTTTATGAATAGAAAGGACCCGTTTTTCATTAATATTCATACTAAAATGTGTGTAAAATGTTTAGATATAAAATTATTTTAATCTTTTATAAAATCCAACTTGATATTCTACAAAAATACCAGATTAAGTGAGCAAACTTAAATCCTGAGCAGTATGACCTTTATTTCCTTTTCTAAATTCTGAAGGATAACATGGTTCCTTCTATCCCAATTTCAGAAACTTAAAGAAAATTTTACTAGGTAGATCTCATATTGTTAATGTATATTTACCTTCTGACATCCTAGTGTAAAATTATTTTATAACTCATTTTCCCTAAAAATGTTTTTCTGATAATTATACTGACAACTTCATTTTTATCATACTTCTTTTTTTACTAATTATCTACT